GAAATGAGCCTTGACTGAACCAAATTTTGAATTTTGCCTCTTTGACACCACTTTTCTCCAGTAACGTATTTGAGCCAGCAGGGGGCGCTGTGTACCTGCTCATGCTGAGTGTTTGACGCAGGAGGGTTTTTTTTTAATATTATTTTTATGTTCTCCCATGGTGGGATTATAATCAGCACAGTTGCATTTTACCACAGAACATTTCTTGGCACACATATTCATTTAAAAGGTCAAAAAAATAGAAACTGTTGGAGGTGCAAATATTTAAACTGAGTTAGCTGAACTGCTAAACTCACTGCTTTTTTATTTGTTTTCATCATGTTTCCTTTTTTAATTCATTAGAAAACGTAATTAAAAAGCCAGGGCTTGGAAATCAGAAAATAAATAGATCATGCGTTTAATCTTTCTGTGCATTGAACAACTTGTTTCTAATTTAAAAACTAGTTAGTTTGTTAGTTCTAAATAACACCATGAGCAGATTTATGCCAACGTTTTCTGCTCCAACAACACAATTCTTCAGCGCCACTCCACCTGCCACTTACTGGAGGGGGTGGCTCCGCCCCCCGCCCAGATGTGCGTCTTTCAGTCCACCGCTGGCTCCAGCAGCACGCGGAGCGTTGGGAAGTCAACAGGAGGAGGAGGTGGCGCGTGGGGCCATTTGAAGTAGGACGCAGGGAGCCTCGTGCCGCCGCGCTGTTCTGATAGGTGGAGGAGCTCGCGCTAGACAGGTTTTACCTGCGCAGAGCTAATGAGAGCGCGCGGAGCCTCTCTGCAGACAGGGAGCGGTCTGCGCCACCGGGACTGGTTTTTTTTTCTTCTTCTTTTTCTATAAGTGCTGCAGATGTGTTTATTTTTTATTTATTCTCCTAATTTAATGCAACAAGCAGCGGATATGTTCTGCCCTGGCGGCGGAGTGGGGATGTAACCTGTTTGAAGTGAGCCCACAGCCCGCGTGGAGCCAGTTGTTGGGACGTGGAGTCAATCTAAACCGATCCAGTGGTTTTTGTTTTTGGATGTAAAGCGGCGGCAGAGGTCCTTCCTCTTACCTCCAACATGACTTCACTGTCAGGGACTAAGGAGAGGGGCAGCCGGAGCAGAAAATATGGGGTAGGTTTTCTTTTTATTGATATTTTATTACTGCAGCGAAGGAGTTGATGCTCCTTTGATTGTCAACATGGTGAACAATATAAAATAAACTTAACCATACTGCACCAAACACGTTTTATTTTCAAGTTTGCTCCCATTTTCCAGGATGTCCCTAAATATGAAAGTGATGACAGTTCACACATCCCCTCATGGTGTCAAAACAAGGAGTTTTAATTTCACACTGGTGGATTTGCTGCCGCATCTCTTCATCAGCCCAGTTAGGTGTTCTGCTCACACCTGTGCCTCTGCCTGCCTCCTATATGCGGCCTAATTAGCCTTAATTTATGACGCACTGTTTGGTCACATTATCTCCACCTCTTCAGTTGGGGATGATTGAGCAGCCGCCCATCAACCTGCTGCTTTATTGTGGCTCCTCAGCCCAGCCTCCTCACCACATCAGTGGCTCTGCACCCTGAAAAGATTCACCTGACCACAAAGGATCAAGTTCTCAACTCTTTGTGGTCCTTTTGATGTAGAACAAACTGGTGATCCGTCTAACGCAGGGGTGTCAAACTCATTTTGACCCAGGGTCACATGATGGTGGCCCTCAAAGGGCGTTTCATATTTAACTTTGACTAAACACAAAACCTCCTTTGTCTCATTGCTACGATTGAGCACCTCTAACAAACAGCACCTAAGCTCTATGTTGTATTTCCTGCATTGAAACAGCGTTTCAACGCATCTTATAAACACTGAAAAGTACTACATGGACTAAACATGAAAAAACTAATACAGAAATACAATTAAAAGTAAAAGGAAGAGTTTTATTCACTGTTGAGTTGTGGTGAGTTGTTGTCTTGAATTCTGAACTGAGTTGCTCCCACTTTTACAGAAACCTCCCACTAGAGGGGATGTTTCAGTTAAAATTTACAACTTCTAAGTGGGAAATTCACACTTTTCGGCAGGGGTGTCACTAGGTTTTAAGGACAGGGGGCTTAGCCCCCAGGAGACACACAGAATTTTTGTATGTTATATATTTGTATTGTGTGTATGTATATACATACATACATACATACATACATACATACATACATACATACATACATACATACATACATACATACATACTGTATATTAGGGGTGCAACTGGATTTCATGTGGTGGGGGGCACTCTATATGAACAAGTGAAATGAATTGGATAATGACACACCAAAGAGGATCTTTACCTTACATTATAAATTAAAGGGAAACTGACAGATTTATGATCATATATTTTAGTTAATAGTGAAATATTAAATGGTTATTTATTCTGACCACATTATATTGAATTTTTGTAAAAAAAAATAAAAAAATTTTTTTTACACCAAAATAATTTAGGGGGGCTTTAAAATATTTTAGGGGGGCTCCAGCCCCCCTAGAATAGGCCTAGTGTCGCCACTGCTTTTCGGTATGAATGTGCCACAGCAAAAGTAGCCGAATAAAATGCCGCAAAATGGAGATTTTACACAGCGAATTTCGCTGGCTACATTTGAACCCTGTGCACTTCCATCTAGTGGTGGGATGCCGACATTTCGTGGGTAAAATAATGGGAGATGTAGTTTATATTAAGACATCAAAACATCGTTGAAGCTCTTGTAGACCACATAAAATGCTGTGGCGGGTCACATTTTCAAGTTTGACATGGGATATAACTCTAAATTTTATACACTTATATAATTATTTGTTATTTTTATTCCAAAGCATTGACTTTGTTCTATTAATTCTCCTTTTCTGATGTGGGCTAATTGGCATTTCATATCATCTAATAGCTATTTTTAACCTGTTTCTCATGAATAATTGGTACCACAGGGGAAATTCAATCATTCAGTTTAACAGTACATACGAGTCTTATTAAACAAGCAGTGAATAAGATATAAATGCAAATAAAACTGTTTGCTGACAGGAAAATCACTTTTAAACAGAGAAACCTTCAATTGGAGGAAACAGATTCTATGATTAGGGTTTTGCTCATCAGTTTCAGACATTTTGCATCATTTGTTGAAGTCAACAAAAAATAAATGATGAACTGAGTGGATTTTCTGAGCAACCTCATTTTGCTTTCCTGGCAAAATGCTAATAGCGTGATACTAATTCTCTCATCTCCTGTTCTTAGATTTTTTTTTTCACATAATAGTGCAACCTGTTGTGTGGGCACACTCATAATGCACATGATTTTTGCACCCTTTCTTTATAACATTCTCTCCCCAGCAGTGAAGAGGCATGCTGTAAAGATAAGTCTGTCTGTGTTTTCATAGATGCCTGACACTTCACCAACCAAAGCTGCCTCCTTTTTCCCGGAAACGTGGTACCGAAAGGCCTACGAGGAAACCGCCCGCTCCGGCATACGCCCGGCCCCAGAGGGTGCTGGCTCCATGCCCAGCTCCACCGGCACTCCGTCCCCAGGCTCTGGGATCTCATCCCCGGGATCCCTCTCTGGATCTCCTGGAACCACCTCTCCGTGCATCGGCACAGGGTCTCCGGGTTCTCTTGGAGGCTCTCCAGGCTTTGGGACGGGATCGCCTGCCTCGGGCAGTGGAAGCTCCCCTGGCAGTGAAAGGGTGATCTGGTGTGAGAACTGCAACGCTCGACTGACTGAGCTGAAACGACAAGCTCTCAAACTGCTCATCCCTGGTCCGTACTCCAGCAAGGTAAAGACCAGGGTTTTCTTTTTTATTTCCTCTCATGTGAATCATCTTGATGTTTCTCACATTTTGTTCTTTGGGTTGTTGATGCTTGGTGACACGAGGTCCAAAAAACTTGTTCTTTCATTAACTGTGACACTTATACAGTGATACGTATTAACTTGAGTCGTGAAAGATGGTGCCTCAAATCGTTTCCTTGCTTGCAGAGTTGCTGTGTCGTCATTTATTGTGGTAATAAATCATAAACAGCCACTTTGTCCAGCCTTCCAATTGAACAGCTGCAGAAGTCAAACAGCCTTTGGGATTTAGGATAATTAATATATCTGAAGCAGTTAATCGTACAGTGACAGAGCCAAACCTAAATGATAACAGTAAACAAGACAAATTAATTTTAACTTGGATTGTTTTATATTTTATTTATCCTAACTGATGAAAATCATTCAGCTCACTTTATTTTATTTTATTGATTTTTTTTTCGTTTTGACAGAATCAATGTGATAGATTACTGAAAAAGATTGACTGCTCATAGCAATTATTAATCTTTCTACGCTCCTTAGAAACATCCGTGGCGAATTGATCTGTTTTATTATGAGTTTTAAAATGTTATTATTATTTAAATCAAGTGTTTGTTAAATAACTTGATTTGAAGTGCTTTAACGTCATGCTCCTCGTCGCGTTGCTATAGCTCATCACTGCTAACAAACAGTGAGCTCTATTTGGTATTTCCTGCATAGAAACAATATTTTGCACGTCCTCTTATAAACACTACGACTGAATAAATGTGAAATAAATAATACGGAAATACTAATCAAAGTAAAACAGTTTTCCTCACTGTTGAGTTGTGGTGAGTAGCAGCCGTCTTGAATTCTGAGCTCTCCCACTTTCTGAAAGAAAATTCCCACTGAAGGGGTGTTTCAGTTGAATTTTTTGATTTGTAAGTGGGAACTTCCCACTAACCAGCACAACTGAGCCGCAACAAAAGTATCTGGCAAAAATGTACATGTCAAATTACCATACATAATCTACAGGCTACCTTTTACCAGATACTTTTGAACCCTGTGCACCTCGACACAGTGATGGAATTAGGGGTGTAAGAAAATATCAGTACACTGAAATACTGCAAAATTTCATTTCCTGACATTGTATCAATACTCTAAAGCATTGTATCAATGTAAACTTTATGCCGGTGGTTCATTGTTGTGTTGTAATTTAGCCTCTGGGTGCTATTTGGCAGCAGTCAGGTAGCCATTTGGCTCCTCCCACCCCCTGTGACGGCAACACTGTAGCAGCCTCTATTTATCTGTTTACTGAACTTTAGCACAAACTATACGTTATTGTTAGCTTTAAAGCAGCATATGCTTATCTAAAGACATTAACCCTGGATTTACACTACATGCGTCTCCGCTCCGCTCAGCTCCGCTCCGGTGCGACACACAGAGGAGGGAGTGTGTGCAGGAAGGAGATCGCTCAATAAATTCAGTGAGAAGTGTGGAAGTCACAGCAAAAAATAATTAATTCTGTGAAAGACGAACTCCAAACACAGCTGAAAACAACGATATAAAGGCTTTTAGTATCTATGTTGAAACTGTCTCGCTGTTGTCTTTCTGAAACTTCTGATTTCAAAATAAAATCCACGTGTATCGTGTGTGTACACATATGCTTCATGCTACATGTTTCCATCTGCTTCCCAAACAGAACGATACATTCTGAAAGCATTTGTGTATCCATATATTTATTAATATAGCTGGGATTTCAACATAATTCCGACAAATTATCCCGCCTAATAGTGTCTTATTTTGAAAATATGGATGTTGTGCTCATTTCTCTTCTTGTTGGTGCGACGTAATCTTTAAAAATTGATTTCGGCGCAGCTCCGGCGTCCGGCAAAAATAGGATCTGTTCTAATGTTGCCAGATCGCCATCCGCTCAGCTCCGCCCTGCGCAGCCAGTGTAAACACTCTCATTGATTATAATGGGTGTGTATTTGCTGCGGAGGTCGGACCGGAGTGGAGCGGAGCCGTAACGCATGTAGTGTAAATTAGGGGTTAACACATATTTGAAGCTCTCGCGGGCTACATGAAATGCTATGGCAGGCCACATTTGGCCCACGGGCCTTGAGTTTGACATATTGATATAAACTTGCAACAGCTACCTGGATCTCTTCAGCATTTGTTTTAGACTTTTGATCACTGAAAGAAAAAGAGCAGAAGACCTCAGTTTAACTGTGTTGTGATGTAGAATAAGCATACAGTATGTGCTTCATATTAATTATAGTGTAGTATTTTATCACATCATATAGTTCTTATTGCAAATGGAAGTTGGAGCTGCTCTACTGGACAATCTGCACAATGACATCATGTCTAAATAACCATAGACTTCATTTTTACCACTATTTTCTTTAAAAAGATCCTATCGACAACCTTCACTCACCAATAGAAATATGAGCAAACTCCTATGTTTAGCCTCTTTTGTTAGCATTATTAGATTTTTTTTCTTATGATGTGGGTTATTTGAACCTTCGGTAAACACACCTGACTGAACTACTTTGGAACCTCTGAGGCAAAAGCATCGGCCCTCATTCAGATTCATTTGTTTTTGCATCAACAAGCATCTGCAAAATGAATCAACAGAACTGTCAGCGAGATCTTTTATGGAACAGGAGAACTGGTTTTACTTCTGAGAATATTAAAAAGGAAGGTTCACCCCCACCACACACACACACACACACACACACGCACGCACGCACGCACGCACGCACGTATGCACACACAAACACACACAAGGTATACATGTTTCCTCTTGCCTGTCACATTAACTTTGAACCAACATTTTAAAACTAAAATGTGTTAAGGTCGTGATGTTTGGGTTGTTTTTTATTTTTATTTTATTAAATCAGTGACATTATGAAGTTAATGTGATGTTTCAGCTGCGCTGCCATTTTTTATTGTCTGAGCAGCTTCACAACAGACATTAGGGTTAGATCCTTTGCTTTAAAAATATTTATAGTTTATTACAGAATAACTCAACAGCTGTCACTTTCACCAGGTAGGATTTCTTGGCTGGTTTTCTTTTGTCTGCCCCCGACACGAGTGAGTTGACCTTCGCAGGTGCTTTATGTCGAAAAACTGAACTCGTGTCCTTGGTGAAGCAATGTGACCTAATAATCCTTCTCCTTCACTAAATGTGCCAGAGCAGCAGTTCAGTGTGTGTGTGTGTGTGTGTGTGTGTTCCTAATGTACCTCTTGTCATTCCCATGGGACAGTGGGGGAAATGTGACCCACAACCCACAACAAAACAAACAAACACATTTGTCATCCCATTGCAAACCCACTCATAAACACACCTCTGTTTGCTCCTGAACACATGACAGGTCATGCTTGAGAAAGGCAAGTCTTGTTCTCACACACAGGCACAAGCCCGACTGCTCTTAAATCACGTCTTCGCCTTGAAATCTAATTATTTATGCAACTGTGACTTGTTTTTGTCTTCAAACGCACCGAGTTTCCACGGTGCAGCTGTCGTTTGTCCTCGCAGCTACACACATTCTCACACACTGCTGGTAATATTATGCTAATGATGACCTTCACCGCTCTTTTGAATATTTTGCTGTTTGTGTGTCTGCAGATCCGTGTGTTTGTGTCTGTGACCGTATGTGTGACCCGAAGGCGTCAGTGACAGGTTTTGTCACTATGTATAAAATTTTGCAAAACTCACCACAAAGCGCTCAGAAAACTGGCGTATTTGTGAGTTGTTTGTTGGTTATTTTCATAAACAAACCAATTTGTTTTATGTGTTGAATTTAATAAAGCGTGCTCATTATTATATTTATGCATTCATTGGAGGCTTAGCTGCTCATGGCTTCAAGGAGAGTTGTCTAGTTTGCAAAGAAGATGGAGATAAGGTGGAGAAAACAACTCACAGCAGACACAAAGGAAGATCTGTGCAATGGTACTGTGGGTTAATTGCTGTCCTTAAATTAAACTCAGGTTCATTTCAGGCGACTGTTTTACAGTCAGCTGGGTGAAGAAGTGAAGCTGGCAGGTCGTTTTGCAGGGGGGCAGATTTGTGTCGGCGCAGGGCGAAGCCGAGCTCCGGTGCAGGCTTAGAAAGGAGCCGAGTGTGTTTTAAGGTTTAGACACACAAGAAAAAAAAAAATCACCCCACAACCACGCAACTCAAAAGCACATCTGTTTTGCAACATCTGCACTCACTTAAGGCTGTTGGTCTCTGCTCCACGGGTCTGTGTGTTTGTGGATTTATCCCTCATATCCACCCCCCCGAATCATAAATGGAAGGAGGATGATCTGCTCTTGGTCGGTCCAGTTCAGTTTGGAAAAAGTGGGTCACTCCATGTGTACACGTTTGTGTGTGTGTGTGTGTGTGTGTGTGTGTGTGTGTGTGTGTGTGTGTGTGTGTGTGTGTGTGTGTGTGTGNGTGTGTGTGTGTGTGTGTGTGTGTGTGTGTGTGTGTGTGTGTGTGTGTGTGTGTGTTTTAGTCACCAGCTGAGAGTCTGGTTCAGATCAGCTGAAAGTCAAAACCGGTCATGTTTAGAAAGTGAAGAGAATACAACTCCACATCAGACATGAAAATAAAGCCAAATAAGGTTATGTTTAAGAGCCTATACTCTTGTAAAAGACCTTTAACTGGCAGCTTTGGTCAGATTGCTTTCATCTGTGCTTTGCTTTTTGTTTGAAGTACAGCTTTAGGCGTTTCTTCTTGGTATACATCATACAATAGGGCTGCACGATATTGGGGAAAAAAATGACATTGCAATTTTTTTCTAACCCTGTGATGTGCATTGCAATATGAAAAATCAAATTTCAACAATTTACTTAAATAACATTTTATTTATATTGCCATCCTATTAAAGATGTACCTGCACTGATCGTACCTCATTTTTGTGCACGTTACATGTTTTTTGTCTTTATTTGAAAGTTGTTCCACTCTTTTGTTTGCTTTTTATTTTCATGGGACCTGATGTTTCCTTCTATCATGCGCAAACATAA